TCATCTATTTACTGACTTGAGATTGAGATATATTTGAGATTCTCATGCAATCATGAGTGAATTTTCTATTGTCTCTCAGGGAGTGATTCAAAAGTCTTGTGTAATCAATATTGTGTCTGTATTTTTTTTACAAGCTGACAAAACAAGACTATCAAACTGCATCCAACTCAGATTTGTTTATCAAGAGAATAACATGAGTGTATATCCTATAGGGGTGGAACCGTATGTATTCGTATTGAATTGATATACGTTCGTGCACGAATTTGCATGGAGAATACACGGTATAAAAATAATAAAACTAAATAGCGATAAATTTCGCTCTATTCACGTTTGGTGTGAATGCAGCATAATGAACAGGCTGTGATTTCAAGATTGCAATGCTGGAGTGTGATTCAAACTGCAAAGTGTTTACTGATATTTGTGTACACTCGCAATAAAACACAACATTGTGCTTTTGTCACACTATAAACCCGTGTCAAACTAACCTGTCACCCAACCAAAAACACAGTTTTAAAAGCAAAACATATTTATCCAACCCCATTTCAAAAAGTCTGTGGTTCCATCTTTTGGACATTCATCATGTCGCATTGGTTTTCATGTCTTGTGCTTGGAGTCGGAGCACTAATCTGTTTATTTTTAAGTTGCACATTCTACATTGATTAAAAAAGAAAATCAAATGTGTTTTAATGGTAGTATTATTTTATACCGAAATCAATTATTTATAATTCAAATGAGAATAATTAAAATTTAAGAAAAACAAATCTGAAATATAGCAAATTAATTTTAAATTCATTCAGGTACAATTATCAAACATATCTCAAGGTCTTTTAGTCTTTTTATTAATTTAATTCATAAACTAATTATATAAAACTATTGTCAGTGCTCTACAAACTAGCTCTATGTTAAATAAAACTTATTTTAAAAATATAAGGCTTAAGACATTTATAAAAATGCCTTGTGCATTTTTGTTTTACTATTCACTCTATTGTAATGAACCGTGATGTATGAACCGAACCGTGACTTCCGTGTACTGTTCCACCCCTAATATCCTATTTAAAGACTTCGTTTTGTTTAGTTTTACATCAAGTTTTAGCTGTTTGGAACAAATTCAGCAGAATAGTTAAATTTATTTGTAAAGAGTTCAAAGCAACCTAATGTTTCCTCTCCGTCATATTTTCTCAGTTACGTGGGGGATGTCGAGATAAACGTGGAGGTGAAGAGGTATTTCTGCAAGGCTGGTGTGAAGGGAATACAGGTGAGATTGTGTTTTGCAGGACAATTGATGCATGGTCCCACTGTAGAAATGAAATCTTGAGAGATAATTCCACTTGCATTCTTTCAGCTTCATGGAATGATGCGTGTGATTTTGGAGCCATTGATCGGTGACGTCCCAATCGTGGGTGCTGTGACCATGTTCTTCATCCAAAGACCCGTGAGTGTCTCTAAACACATACTTCACCACTATAAAGAAGCTTTTGTGGACCGGAAAGTTTCCATGTATGTTAAAGGTTCTTCATGGATGCCAATAAAGGACCTATTAGATGAAAAATAAGGGTTCTTCTATGGTTGACTAGATGATTCTTTTGAGCTTAAATTGTTTTTGACATTACACTATCCCCCAGTTTCACAGACAAGTCTTAAGCCTAGTCCCAGACTAAAATGCATGTTTGAACTGAACATGTTTTAACTGAAAGCAACTTGCACTGACTTATCTTGAAATATGTCAGTGTGATTGTTTTGTCTCGAGAGGCACACCTATAATGTTTTTTTTCTAAGGCACGTTTATAAAAGCTACTTTAATGTCCTAATTGTACTAAGGCCTAATCCTGCCTTAATCTAAGCCTATAGGTTCAGATCAAATGCATTATTAGTTCTTGGTAACATCCATTAACTGAGGAAGTTGAAACCCTCCTGTGTTCTCTGAAGCTCCATTGAACTTTAAAATGTTCTGCATTAGTCTTCTTGCAAGTGTGTTCTGAGCCTTACTGTCTTTATTCTTTCATTAGTGCTTGAATTAGAATATTACTTTTAATAGAATCATGTAGTATTCTCCTTTTTCCTCTTTGTTGTTAGAAACTGACCATTAACTGGACCGGTTTGACCAACCTGCTGGACATCCCAGGGGTCAAGTGAGTTTTAGTTATTACACATACACAGTAACAATTTATTCAGTTCAGTACACTCACTGTCCTGATCGGCATCCGTTTCTTTAAAAAAAAAAAAAAATTCACACTTTCTGTCCCTGTTCCTTTTCTCAGTATGATGTCAGACACTATGATCATGGACGCGATTGCCTCGTTCCTGGTTTTGCCCAATCGTCTCACTGTTCCTCTGGTGGCAGATCTGCATGTGGCTCAGTTGAGGAGCCCTCTGCCTAGGGTAACACACGCATACACACCTTACACACATCCAATCAACATACAATGACCAAATTACTCAAATACATGATACTTTGGTTTTTGTAATTAACATTTACTGAACAGTTCAAAAGTTTTGGCTCAGTTAAAAAAAATTATGCTTTTGGAAGAAGTCTCTTATGCTCACCAAAACTGCATTTATTTAATCAAAACTACATTAAAAACTGAAATAATGTGAAATATTATTAAAATTTAAAATAACTGTGAATACATGAATATGTTTTAAAGTGTAATTAATAGGGTTGTAACAGTGTTAATTGTGACAGCAAATATTGTGGAATACTATTGACATTTTCTAATTTTAATATATTTTAAAATGTAATTTATTCCTGTGATCAAAGCTGAATTTTTAGCATCATTACCCAAGTCTTCATTGTCACATGATCCTTCTGAAATCATTCTAATATGCTTATTTGCTGCCCAAGAAACATTTCTTATTATTTTCTATGTTGAAAACCGGTCTGCTGTTTCATATTTTTGTGGAAACCATGAGAGATTAGAGTTTTTAATTAAACATTCAATGAACAGCATTTGTTTTAAATATAATTATTTTATGACATATTTATAAATGTCTTTATTGCCACCTTTGTTAAATATAATGTGTCCTTGGTGAATAAGAGTATTCATTTATTTCAAAAAGAAAAAAATATCTTGCTGACTTCGATCTTTTGAAAGTTAGTGTTCTGTGCCACTTTTGCAGTGTAATTTGAAATATTTTTCAATAATTTTAATGCAGAAGTAGCATACATGTTTCTGAAACATCGCTTTCCATAAAACATAATGGTACCATGTAATTGGTTATTTTCGTTTAGGAGTAATGCTGTAATGAAACAGTTCCCTGCACTGCAGTCTTTCATATTCTGTGCATCTTTCTTTATTTCTTCAAGGGAGTTGTGCGTATTCACCTGGTGGAGGCCGAAAGTCTGGCTGCGAAGGACACCATTGTGTCTGGTGTGTCTGACCCGTACGCCCTGCTCAGAGTCGGGCCGCAAACCTTCAAATCCCAGCATCTGGACAATACACTCAATCCCAAATGGGGTGAAATGTATGAGGTGGGTGTTAAAATGGCACCACATTGCAATATCAACAAAAGAAGTAACTCTTTAAAGACTGATTTCCCCGGCTGTACTGTATAAGCCATTTGATATCATAATATTAATATATGATGTAAATGTGATGAACTTCATAAGGTCATATGTATCTGTGTGTGTTTAAATGTCTGACCATTTACGCCGCGTTTTGTCATTGATGTCCCACGCTGTTAATGTCGGTGTGTCTTTGGTGTTTCATGCATGTCTGTCTGTCAGGTCATCGTTCATGAGGTGCCTGGTCAGGAGCTAGAGGTGGAAGTGTTTGATAAAGATCCTGATCAAGATGATTTCCTGGGCAGGTACCATATCACTTTCATGTCCTGTCATTCCGTTTCTCATTTTTTCTCTCAAAGGAGTCATATCTTTAATGTTTTAACATTATAAGCGAATAATCCTAAAACAATTTACACTGAAGTTATCTTGTTTTTTGAAAGTGTTTCCATAGTGCATTAAACTCTTTAATTCCAAACGTTTCTTAAAAATGTTATTTTCTCATAATATGACCTCTTTGATATAGATCTGTTCTAGGTTTTCATCTTCTGAACATCAGTTATAGTGTCCTACCATAAGCCACCATTACCATAAACTCATGATTTGTGTTTTTTATTGTTTGCTGATCTCTATTCTCACCGTTGTGTTGATTCTCTTTATCTCACTTGTGTTCAGGACAAAATTAGACTTGGGGATTGTGAAGAAATCTAAAATAGTTGATGAGGTGAGAACATTTAGATAATGTGTGTGTGTTTGCGTGTTTAACTTGATTTGATTTGCAAGTGTGTGCATAACTTAAGCCACAAGTGACATGAAATCTATATTGATGAAACTTCAAACCACTAAAACCAATGTATATTACAATTATTATTATTTATTTATAAGTAAAATGATCACATGCCTGAATGCTTGATTCTGTTTGGTTCATCAAGGAATTCTGCAAGCAAATATTTTAATGTAGCAAAACTTTATATTTCTGATTTTCTTTCTAGTTTCATATCCCTCGTCATTCTCTAAAACTTTTAAGTATTATAGAAATATTAGTCGAAAAACTGCCCTAGTAATGACTGAAATAAAAAGTTCTGTCATGAATCTCTAGATGGTGCAGGCTGACAGGGCACAGCTGATTGGTTCCTGTCACATCAGTAGCCAATGAGCTCGCTGCTCAACTTTCAAATACTTAGTCAGTGTTTTCTGTAGCAGTTTGCAGTACACTTTCAGAAACCCTCCACCTTCCCCAGCTCCTTCTTTTTAGATATGCTATGGGTAGTTCATGTATGCACAGCAGCAGCATGTCTTATTTGCTTACAGTAGCGTGTCATATATGTTTTATAATATTATAAGAATAAATTACATTTAATAACACTGATGTCGTACCACTGTACGCTGAGCTGCGAAATAAACCTCTGACAAGGTGATCTGTGCCTCGATTCAGTCTTGTATCACTCTGTTATTTTGCAATAATGACTGGCTTGTTTGTGGAATATTTGTGTCTTTTATTATCTATTTCAATATGTCGGTCTCATATTGTAGAATTTTGCATGGCTGATTATTTGATGTTTTAATGTCCTCTTCTTAGTGGTTCACTTTGAAGGACACCCCTACAGGGCGGGTTCACCTCAGACTGGAGTGGCTGACACTAGAAGCCGACACAGGAAGACTGACAGAGGTCTTGTAAAACCGTACAAACACAGAACACAGGGGGATTCTGGGAAATGGGTGTGCTATGTTTTCCACACATGCAAACAGTGTGTTCATGTACTCCACCTTTTAACAAAACCCAATAATCTTTGAACATGACAGAAAGCTTACTTTACATACTTAACAAACAGAGCAACTTCAAACAGGAGTTTTGACAGTAGCTTCGCTCCGCCCTACTTTGCCCTCATTTTTTTCTCTCTCTCTTTCACTCAGGTTTTGAAGAGAAATGAAAGTGTGGTGAGTAAAACAGCAAAGCCACCCTCAGCAGCCATCATGGCATTGTATTTGGACAAGGCTGAGGCACTTCCTGTGAGTAATACTCTCACGTCAACTTCCTGCTGCACTCTTTGTTTTAACACACAGACACGTTATGTTTAATGGGCACATTCCATTGAAAATGATTTTTATACTGTGCAAACTGTATATTTCATCCCTTATCCCTACCCATTACAGAAAACACACAGACACAGTAGTTTTGCTTACCTACCATGCATTTATTTATTCAAGTACACAGGAAAACGTCTCGGTTACGTATGTAACCCTCGTTCCCTGAGTAGGGAACGGAGACGTTACGTCAGAAGTGACGGAGATTGGGGGTTTCGCATAGAAAGCCAATCCTCTTCGAGTATTAAAACACGAGCCAATGGCATGCAATGCCTTGGGGCTGCGGAAATTTGCATAGCGTACTCCGCCCTACTCCGTGAGTATAAAAGGAGGAAGTGAACGCAACCGCAGTATGTCTTCGCTGAGGAGCCAAGACTGAACTCGGCCTCTACCCAGCGATACAGCAGAAGTGGCAGGGAGACGTAACGTCTCCGTTCCCTACTCAGGGAACGAGGGTTACATACGTAACCGAGACGTTCCCTATCGTAGTCACTTCGAGTTACGTCAGAAGTGACGGAGATTGGGGGTCTGTGCCATCACGCCATCTTCAAGCTGTCTTCCAGTGCCCTGCGAAAGACTGAACCCCCGAGCCTTACCTCTTTTTTTTTTTTTTTTTTTTTTGGGGATCCGACTTTGACACAGGATTACCAAGGTACACTGGGAACATATCCCGAAGGGGACATGCTACCAGCTGCCTACCGAAGGGAGGACTTAAGAATACACATATGGCCACATAGGAACGCATATGGAACACTGGAGTACCAACCGCAGGTGGCTACTGATTTAAACTCCAGGGGTGGCAGATGGCTTGCCAAGGGAAGACACATGCTCAGAGAGGCTTACAGTGGATAATACACATGAGACGGTTACCATGGGGAACCGTGCGCATGGAGGCACCTAGCTAGCATCCAGAGCAACGCAGTGGTGCCCGCATCGTCGGTGCTGGAGGACTCAAGACTTCAATGGAAGAACTGAGGAAATATCGCACTTATCCAGTCCGGGGAGTGGAGTGGCGAGCAAGCGAAGACACCTGAGCGGATCCAGAACTGGCCGAAACGAGTACGTGAGAGGATACCGGCTCAATTCGCAGATTATAGAATCTGGCGAAGGTGTTGGGTGTCGCCCAGCCTGCAGCTCTGCAGATGTCTGTTAGCGAGGCGCCGTGCGCTAAAGCCCAAGAGGAGGCTACACTCCGAGTGGAATGGGCCGTCACACCAAGGGGGCACGGAAGGCCTTGCTGCTGGTAAGACAAAGCAATGGCATCCACTATCCAGTGGGACAGCCGTTGCTTTGAGAGAGCCCTTCCCTTCTGGCTCCCCCCATGACAGACAAAGAGCTGGTCTGAGGTCCTGAAACACTGCGTTCTGTCGACATAGGTGCGGAGAGCACGTACCGGACAGAGCAGTGCCAAGGCTGGGTCTGCCTCCTCCAGGGGCAGCGCTTGCAGGTTCACCACCAGGTCCCGGAGGGGAGTGGTAGGAACCTTGGGCATATATCCAGGCCGGGGTCTCAGGAATACGTGAGAGTAAGCCGGCCCGAACTCCAGGCACACTTCGTCAACAGAGAGTGCGTGCAGGTCCCTTACTCTCCTGATGGATACCAATGCAATCAGGAGTGCTGTCACATAGGACAGGGCAAAAACTCTACCGACTGCAAAGGCTCCAGGGGAGGCCTCTGCAGAGCACCCAGGTCTACTGAGAGGTCCCCAGAGGGCAGGAGGGGAGGGAGGCGGATTTAGCCCCCTCACTCCCCTCAGGAACCTGATGACCAGGTCATGCTTCCCATAGACTTACCTTTCACTGCATCATGAGACGCGGCAATGGCCGCGACATAATCCAAAGGGTGGAGGGCGACAGCCTGCGCTACAACCCCTCTTGCAGGAAGGAAGCATGACTCCGATCGAACATCTCCGGGGGTCTTCTCAGCGAGAAGAACACCAATTGACGAAGAGGTTTCACTTCAACGCATAAAGGTGTCACGTGGACGACGCTCTTGCGGAAGTGATGGTTGCCGCCACCGCAGGTGGCAGCGAACTCAAACCTGCCTCGTCCCGTCCTGGAGCCACACGTGCAGCCTCCAAGATCGGGACGAGGGTGCCACAGAGTGCCCCGTCTCTGAGAGAGTAGGTCCGGTCTCAGAGGAATAGGCCAAGGAGGTGCTGTCGCGAGGAGCAAGAGTTCGGAGAACCACGTCTTGGTGGGCCAGTAGGGGGCTACCAGCAAGACCTGCTCCTCGTCCTCCTTGATCTTGCACAACACCCGTGCAAGGAGGCTCACTGGGGGAACGCACACTTGCGTGGGCCCCGTGGCCAGCTGTGCGCCAGCGCATCCGAGCCGAGAGAGCCGCGGGTCAGAGAATAACTGGGCGCAGTGGGACGAGTCCCGAGAGGCGAACAGGTCTAACTGTGCCTCCCCGAACTGTTCCCAAATCAGCTGGACCGACTGGGGATGGAGTCGCCATTCGCCGGAGATGGGACGGGCCCGGGACAGCTCGCGGCTGCCCGATTCCGGTCTCCAGGAATGTAACTGCACGAAGGGACCTCAGGTGCTTCTGACTCCATATCAAGAGGTGGCGGGCGAGCTGCGACAACCGGCGCGAGCGTAGACCCCCCCTGGTGGTTGATGTACGCTACTGCCGTAGTGTTGTCTGAGCGGACAAGCACATGCTGGCCCTAGAGCACGCTCGGAAGCGGTGCCGGGCGAGCCGTACTGCCAACAGCTCGAGGCAATTGATGTGCATGAGGCGCTGGGCTCCTGTCCAGGAACCGGCGGCTGCATGCCCATTGCACATGGCACCCCAACCCGTGGTAGACGCATCCGTGGAGACAACGAGATGCCTGGAAACTCGCTGAATAGGGACCCTGTCCGTAAAAAGCTGAGGTTCGACCACGGGAAGAAGGATCGGCGGCACGTCGGAGTCACTGGAACTCGGAGCGAGCCGCGATGCCATGCCCACCTCGGGACTCGATCGCGAAGCCACAGCTGAAGCGGTCTCATATGAAGCAAACCGAGCGGCGTTGCCGCGGCCGCGGATGCCATATGTCCCAGGAGCCTCTGAAAAGTTTCAGTGGAACCGCACTCTTGCCCTCGAACTGTCGAAGACAAGCCAGCAGTGAGTGCGCGCGCTCGTTCGTGAGCTGCGCGGACATGGCGACCGAGTCTATCTCCATGCCGAGAAAAGAGATCCTCTGCACGGGGCAAAGTTTGCTCTTTTCCCGGTTGACCCGAAGGCCCAGACGGGCTAGGTGCCGTAGCACCAGGTCTCTGTGTTCGCAAACCTGAGCTCGAGAGTGTGCTAGTAACAGCCAGTCGTCGAGATAGTTCAGGATGCGAACCCCGTGTTCGCGAAGGGGAACAAGGGCTGCCTCGACGATCTTCGTGAAGACGCGAGGGGACAGAGCTAACCCGAATGGGAGAACGGCGTACTGGTATGCCTGGCCCTCGAAGGCAAACCGAAGAAACGGTCTGTGTCGAGGGAGAATGGAGACATGGAAGTACGCGTCCTTCAGGTCGATCGCTGCAAACCAATCCTGATACCGAACACATTCGAAAATGCGTTTGGCCGTGAGCATTTTGAACGGTAGTCGATGGAGAGAACGGTTCAAAATGCGCAGGTCCAGGATCGGTCGTAACCCACCGGTCTTTCTTGGGGACAATGAAGTAGGGGCTGTAAAGCCCGGACCTCACCTCGGCTGGAGGGACCGTCTCGATTGCACCCTTCGCCAGCAGGGTCGCAATCTCCGCTCTCAAGACTGGGGCATAGCCACCAACCATCGTGGAGCGAACTCCCCTGAAGCGGGGAAGAGACCGTGCGAACTGAATCGCGTAGCCGAATCCGATCGTTCTGATGACCCAGCGGGAACCCCGGGAAGCGCTAGCCAGGCTTCCAGGAAGTGAGCCAACGGGGTCATGCGAACCACAGACGTCCCCCCGGAGGGCAGCGAGGCGGGTCGACCGGCATGCGTGCAGGAGTTACCCCGTCCGGATGCACCGTCGAAACCCGCTCCCCGACAGAAGAGACCAGGGAAGGCAGAGCGTTCCACGGGGGTCTGTTCTGCCGGGGGTCTGGCGACAGAGGGGGAAGGGATTGGCGTAGCCCGGGGACGACACACGCACCCTTCCGCGCCCTCCGAGACAGAGAGGAATGAACGGGGCGACGCACTGGACGTCGTGCGCGCTCATTCCAGTCTGTGTGCTCAATGACAGTGTCAGCTTTTCCTCAACCAGCTCAGGGAGCTAGCTAGAACAAAAGATTCTCCACCGGCCCTCCACCGGGGAAGGAGGGGCCCTGCCACCGCCTCCTGAGAAAAACCATGACACTATCACTGAGCGGCCCGCCTCAGGAACATCGCTTCGCCTGGCATCTAGCGGGGCACGCGGCCTGAGGGGGGGCTCTTTTCTTGGGACGCTTACCTGTGGCCTCCTCCGCGACGCGAACCGGCTGAAGGCTGCTGCTGGGGCCGCGTGGGAGGGAAGGGAGCCGCAGGGGGGCGTCCTCGGCGGCGAGCTGGCGGAGGCGTCCGAGCCGACGGCTGGTTGGAGGCAGCAGCTGGCCGTCGGGGCAGAGAAACCGCCTTCGTCTGCTCCTAGGCGGTCGAGAAGTGCTGGGCAAAGTCCTGGACCGCACCGCCGAACATTATGATGCTCCTGGACCACAGCGGTGGGCATCACCTGACCAAGGGAGCGAGCGACCGCCTCCGTGACCCGTTTAAGGACAAGGTAGGCGACAGGCTCGCAGCTCGCTTGGTCCGTCACCTCCTCGTGCACATTCCTGAGCAGCTAGCTTTGTAGGTGCTCATCATATGCAGGGCGGAGGCTGCCTGTCCCGCCGCTCTACAGAATCGCGCCGCCATAGACGACGAGAACCCATAGGCTTTGGAGGGGCATCTGAGAGCAACCGCCGGTTGACCGGGGGAGCCCCAGCGTACCCACAGACAGCCGCATCGCCGAGGGGAGGAAGGGCGGGGAACTAAGCACGCTTTTTTTTTTTTTTTTTTTTTAATTTATTTATTTTTTAGTGCGTGTCAGTTCCGCATGCAACTCGGGGAAAAAAGGAAATTGGGGTTGGCCGTGGCCGTAAGGCGGCAGCGTTACCCAAAAACCAATTATTCAGCCGCGAGAGATCGGGGAGGGGCGGAGTTCCACCCCCACCCGATGCTCACGGACGCCCGAGATAGCACGGCCATCATCGCGGGATCAGACACGGCGGCGCTGACGCTCCCGAGGGAGGCAACGCGGCCGCATCCTCACTTCCCGAGGAGTCAAGCCCGCCTAGTGATGCTGTGATCGACATCGCATCATCATCTGGAGCGCTGCCCGAAGCAGCCGGTGCCACCGAAGAAGCAACCGACTGAATCGAACTAACGCTCGCTGGCTCTCGCACTGAGGCGGGAGGTGTGGCCCGAGGAATCGTCGGGGCTTATCCCACACCATCACCGTAAATCACCAGGTCCCCGGGTCGACGGGCCCCCTATGGAGGAAACCGATCGAGCGGGGGGGACCGGGACTCTCACTCAAGTGAGATCATTGAGTCTCGACCTCAGTGTAGAGATGGTCATGTTCCCACAGAAGGAAAATGAGTCATCCACGAACGCTGCTGCTGCATGCTGAAATGCCCAGGCATACAAAGCAGCGATCGTGACCATCAGATGACGACAGAAATCAATCACACCCAGAAGAGCACGGGCGAACCGTCTTTAAAAAGACGTGCGCGTGCAGCTCTTTCAATGAGAGGAGGAAATTCACTCTTTCAGCGCTGAAGCGACCAGGGAGAAGCGCAAAGTCTGGCAGACCACTGCTCAGATCGCAGGCGATGCAGAATCTCGCTGGGTACCGCCGTCACACCAACACTGAAGAGGACGCTCGTCTCGAAGAGTCTTGAACAGTGCTTTCAGGAGTGAAGAGGTTCTCTTGGCTCCGAAGCGAAAACATACTGCGGTTGCGTTCACTTCCTCCTTTTATACTCACGGAGTAGGGCGGAGTACGCTATGCAAATTTCCGCAGCCCCAAGGCATTGCATGCCATTGGCTCGTGTTTTAATACTCGAAGAGGATTGGCTTTCTATGCGAAACCCCCAATCTCCGTCACTTCTGACGTAACTCGAAGTGACTACGATAGGGAACAGGAATATTCTGGAATACTATTAAAATTTTCTAATTTGAATATATTTTAAAATGTAATATATTCCTGTGAGCAAAGCTGAATTTTCAGCATCATTACTCCAGTTTTCAGTGTCACATGATCCTTGAGAAATCATTCAAATATGCTGATTTGCTGCTCAAGAAACATTTCTTATTATTATCAATGTTGAAAACAGCAAACTATGACACACTTTTTTAATTCTATATTGATTAGATAGTTCAAAAGAAATAGACATGTTTTGCAGCAGTGTAAATGTCTTAACTTCAATTATGATCAATTTAATGCATCCTTGCTGAATAAACGCATTAATTTCTTAATAAAAAAATCTTACAAGCCCCAAACTCTTGAACAGTATTATATGCGAGTCAGTTTTTTTCCGCTTTGTCTTTGAAAAGGAAGTGAAACCTGAAATCACCCTAATGTGGGGACGAGCCAACAATGCCTACAATGAAAATGGTTAATAAATACACTAAATAATGTCTCAATCAACATATAAAACTGCTAAAAGGTTTCTGTTTGGGTTATATTTAAGATAGGGGATAAAAAACATCATTAGCTCAGTATAAAAACAGTAGAATTTAATGGAAGGCCCCACCATGGTAGAGAAACCAAACAAGTGTGTGTGTGTATGCTCCTGGTTACCCACAATCTGCTACTATTACCCTTTTATGCTCTGCAGCAGACTGGCTGCCGCCCACTTTGAAGCAGATTTAGAGGATGGCAGCCATTTCTAGAGAAACTATTAAATGAAACATTAGATATATCTTATTCAGCTCATGGTCTTGAGGGTGCACTCTGTGAAAGCACTCGCACCGTTTCCCGCATCCAGAATATTTTACTAGAAGTGCAATGCAAAAAAAAATTCACTTAAGAGGCACACGTTGATACTTAAAACTCTTGAAACAAGTACACACTTGCATCAAGTGAATATGCCAGAGTGCTCAAGCTTACAGCTCTGCGGTCTGGAAGATTTAAAAAGAATGTCCTGGCTTTATTAGCTGTTTCCATCCACCTATTTTATGCACATTTTGGGAAATACGGTTGACCACAGATAATAATTGATATTAGACAGATAATAAAACTCCTTTCTCAGTTCTAAAGCATACATTGTGTTTACAATAAAGCACTTAGTTTAAGTCTATAGTGCTTTGCTTTGTAATAAAAGTAAAAAATTGTGAAAAAATTGACTTTTATGTCACAATTCAGACTGAATATCATATATAAACTTGTGAGGTTTTTTCTCGCAATTCCAGAATCGTGAGTTATAAACTCAGAATTGCATCATATAAACTCGGTTCAGAATTTTGAGATTAATGAAACGTAATTCCCTTTTTTGTTTTTTATTCCCTTGTTTTCCATATTAAGCATCAACGCTGTTTTCAACATTGATAATAATAAGAAATATTTCTTGAGCAGCAAATCATATAAGAATGATTTCTGAAGGATCATGTGACACTGGAGACTGCAGTATTGATACTGAAATTTAGCTTTGATCACAGGAATAAATTATATTTCCAATTTATTCTAATAGAAAACAGTGCTTTCAAATTGTAATAATATTTCACTGTATTTTGATCAAATAAATGCAGCCTTGGTGAGCAGAAGAGACTTCTATCAAAAACATTTTAAAAATCATTTAAACGGAATTGTTTACTAAACTTATTTATATGAAATAGTTATTTTTTATTGGTTTAATCTGGAAACATAATTATATTGATGACAAAATGACCTGACATGCATATGCTATTTTATGTTAGTTTTAAGTGTGTCTGTATCCGTTTCTTCTGTTTTTAGATGAAAAAAGGTAATAAGGATCCCAACCCAATTGCTCAAATCTCAGTGCAGGATGTTACTCGTGACAGCCGGGTAAGACACACAATGACCACCTGTGCCAACCAAACTTTCCCATGTGACTCGCTCTTCTCACTCACTTATTTCCCCTCTTCTTAGATTTGCTGGAATACCGTGAACCCTCAATGGGAGGACGCGTTCACTTTTTTCATCAGAGACCCAAGCAAAGAGAACATTAGTGTACAGGTATGCTTACATCATCTGCCCTGTTATGAACATACACAAGCTCTCAATACTGGTGTAAACAGGGTTCAGATGTGATTACTTCCTGGACTCTTTTTCCGAGTGTGAATTTTTCCTGGTTGACATTCATGTTACTTAAACCATTTTTACATTGACTCACTCTCTTTTTCAGGTGAAGGATAATGACCGTGTACAGGTTTTGGGAAGTCTGTCCATTCCTGTTTCCCATCTTCTCTCGAGTCCAGATCTGACTTTAGATCAGTGGTTTAATCTTGAGAATTCTGGCTCAGAGAGCCGCATCCACATCAACACAGTTCTCAGGGTAAATTCATCACATATACACGTATACATGTACTCTTCCATGCAAAAACAACAACATAATTTTTCACTTTATTTACAAAATATTCATCTCCAACAACATCTGCTCCACGCATTCGTCATGGTGCTCTCGTGAACATAGATGAAAACGGCTGTTTGTTTGTGATATTCCAGTTTTGCACACAAGTTAAATTCACAACGTTGGTTGGAAACATAGCTTATGTTGATGTCATTTCCTGCAGGTTCTCTGTTTGGATGAATCTGCAGTAACTTCCTCCCTCCTCTCCAGTGGCCCTCTTTCGAAGAGCTCTGCCTCGCGTCCACAGAAGACGACGCCCCATTCCAGCTTCGCTTCTGAGGTGTGCAGGTCTCATCTACTGGGGAACCCACGGGTCAAATTTGGCCGCTGTTAATTGCTGCTACCAAAATGAACAAAAAAAAAAAATGTTTTTGTCAAATTTAACTTCAAAAGCCCAGAGTGCCACTTCTGGTCCCTGCATAGAGACACCTAGTGGATGAATATTGAACTCACAAGTGCCAGAGTGGTAGTAACAAGGTGGCTGACCACATGCTGTTTTGTTGAGCTGGAAACCAATCCAAACAAAATCATCTTCTCAGCAAACCAGCGGTTGGCAAAATTCTGTATTTTTTGTTAATCTGTTTAGTATTAGCTTGCAAATGCCTAGAAGTGTGTTTTATATTATTTTTGGATAAATTAGCAACTCTGAGCTAGATCAAAAAACGATGGGCCAAAAAAGACTCTCTGGGTGAATGGGTTAAACAACTGTCCGGGTGGAGGGCTCCGAGCTCGGATTTCTGCCCGAACCCAGAGTACTGAAGATTGTACCCCCCCAGAGTACCCCCCAGAGTACCCCCCACCCCCTGATATTTATCTTCTCCTAGATTGATTACTGATTGCTCTCCACTGGTGCTGATTGGGTTAATTAACTGCACCTGCTCCTCCCGAACCTTGTTTATCAAACCTCATTAAAATGATCTGCACTTTGTTCCTGCAGGGGCTGCTGCGGATCCACCTCGTTGAGGCTCAAAATCTGGTTGCGAAGGACAACCTGATGGGTGGGATGGTGAAGGGGAAGAGCGATCCGTATGTCAAGATACAAATTGGAGGTGAAACCTTTAAAAGTCAAGTGATCAAGGAGAATCTCAACCCCACCTGGAATGAGATGTATGAGGTGAGAATACTTGCAAATGCATTTATAAATCAAACCTTGACGCTTTGTCCAGAATGACAAACTGCCATTCTACTATACTATACTATACTATATAACAATGTTTGACATATGTATTGTTGCATGCTGTTTCACACGCCATTTAAAAAAAATAAATTAACTGTACACAGTATGTACTGCAAATTGTGAAGTGTGCTAGTCTTCCAAACATTTATCAGCAGGACTTTTCTCAGTAGTATTTCTGGTACTATGACTAAGTGTTTTAACTTGCCATTTTCCATTATTTTTTTCAAGGTTGTTTTGACACAGCTTCCTGGTCAGGATTTGACATTGGAAGTTTTTGATAAGGACATGGACATGAAAGATGACTTTATGGGCAGGTAAGAAGGCTGCTGTCAATGTAATCCAGTATAACTCTTACACATTCATTTAGGCATATATATTTATATTGTTTTTCTTTCAGGCTGAAGATGAATCTGAGTGACATAATCAGCTCCCAATACATTAATGAGGTTGAGTATATATGCATGCATCAGTAGTAATAAGTATAAAATAAGATGTATATTATATAAAGATGCTCAAACATGTATCCTCTTGTGACTGTATGTGTGTGGCAGTGGTTTTCTCTGAGCGATGTGAAACGTGGCCGTGTTCATCTCGCTCTGGAATGGCTTCCCACTGTAACACAACCAGAGAAACTCCAGCAGGTGGGCAGAACCATCTCTCATCCTCCATCAATCTCAGTCTGTGTTGAAAATACATTGAGGAAACTAACTGGTTAACTGAATGATTTCTTCATCAGGTGTTGCTGTACCAATCAAAGACCTCATACACCAATAAGACAGTGCCGTCTGCCGCTCTTCTGTTTGTGTATGTGGAGCGCGCACATGAGCTTCCTGTGAGTATGACACAAGTGACATCTCTTAAATATCTCATTTGTCTTCCCGGACAGTAATGACATGGAGAGACTGAGATCCTCCTGTTTTTCAGATTTTTCTCCTGAGAAAAAGACCCCAGTGATCTTTTATGTTCCCCTCTAGAGTTTCAGAAAATACCTCAACAATATCTCAAACTGTGAGGAAACAAAGTGTGCAATCAGAAGTCTAGGATCTCAATATCAACTTAAACATTACTCAAATGATATATATAGCTGCTATTTCTCTGGGGGAAAACTTTTATTCAGCAGCAAGGTTGCATTAAATTGATCAAACGTGACAGTAAATATGTTTATAATGTTAAAAAAATATTTAAATTTCAAATGCTGTTCTTTCAAATTTTCTATTAATCAAAGAATTCTTAAAGTACAGTTTCCACAAAAATATGTAGCTGTACAACTGTTTTCAACATTGATAGTAATCAGACATGTTTCTTGAGCAGCAAATCCTCATATTAGAATGATTTCTGAAGGATCATATGACACTGAAGACTGGAGTAATAATGGTAAAAAAGCAGCTTATATATTAAAAATAGAAAACAGTTATTTGAAATTCTAATGATAATTCACAATATTACTGTTTTTACTGTATTTTTAAGCAAATAAATGCAGCCCTGGTGAGCAGAAGAAACTTCTTTCAAAAACATCTTCAAAAAATCCCCAAACTTTTGAACAGTATTATATTTCAACAACTGATTTGTTTTAGAAACATTTTAGGAGAAATATCTGAAACAAAGTTGATACTTTAATGAAACATTTACCCACAGTGCTTTACACATGGTTCTCTAAATCTTATTTTTTCTCTACGTGTTTAGTTGAAGAAGAGTGGAAAGGAACCTAAAGTTGGAGTGGAGCTGATTTTGAGAGGAACTTCTCATAGAACCACGGTGAGAAACTGCTTTACCACAGATACTGTTTAAATATTTGGTCAATGATGTGTGGATAAAATTGATTTTCTTTTTCCTTGATTCTGTGTGATGTAGGTCTGTGACCGCAACAGCTCTCCCCAATGGGATGAAGCGTTTCACTTCCTGGTTCGAAACCCTTTTAATGAAGACCTTGTTGTTAAGGTTAGAACTCGCAAACAGCACATTTTTATGCAGTATTTGACTTGCAACCCACTTTACCATCTGACATTAACCCTTTAACCTCACTTTTTCTCACCAGTTATCCCACAATTGGGATTTCTCTCTGGGATCTGTGGTGATTCCCATTAAAGAGCTTCTCTCTGAACCAGATCTGCTGTTGGACCAGTGGCTCAATCTGGATGGAGCGTCACCTCAGAGTCAGATTCTGCTCAGAGCTCAACTGAAGGTAAAACACACACACGGAATCATCAAAATACTCTAAAAACAGCAATACTGTGAAATATTAACTTGTTTCTATTTAAATATTGAGACCCCTCGTAGTGAAAATCAAGTTTTTAATTGTGTTTATATGTCTATGTGGTGTTTTAGAGAAAAACCGTGTGCAAATTCATCAGTCAACACCATTGCGGAGTATTTTCTCCTTAAAACTGTTGTGTACAAAAACACACCCCTAATTTCTAGCATCACAAACATGTAACCAATCCCGTCAACGTGTGGGGCGTTATTGGATATTTACAAGGATGCTGATTTTTAGAAGGCAGCTGTCTGACTCTGAGGTGGCGTGATCTGTTGTTACCTTGTGTTGTAGATTCTTTGCCCTAAAGCGACGGAGAGCTCTGAAGACCAGCATGAGAATCTGAGCTCTGAAGCATCCAGCATTAGAAGAAAACAGGAGGAGGAATTAGTGCAAAAGTGAGAGGAGAATTTCACGTCACAGTGCCCTCGAACAGTGCCTTAAACTGAAGATATTTTATTTAATTCAAATGAACAGTTTTGCAGAACACCTGATATTTCACTCATAATTTTATCTTAAAAATGAAAAATGAACTCTATAAATCTATTGCAGGTTCATGTAAAAGTTATGTTCTTTAGAAAACTGTATTTAAGTGTGTATTTAATGATTATACTCGACTGTTAAGTATGTGTTTTTATTGATACTATGTTAAAAAACAATGTTTCATATTCATATTGTTATGTTATGTAACTTCTTTGACCACATAGACAATAAACTTACTTTGACTTTGACGTGCGTGTCTGTGTTTGTTTGGGGGGATTTAGGTCTAGTATTGAAGAGGTCCCACCGTCTCCTGTCAGCAGGACTTCCTCTGTGTCAGTCCCAGAAGAGGAGGAATTCCCAGAGGTCACGGAAGTGTCCAGCTCAGATGACCTTCGACCCCTACACACCAGCCCTGATCCCTGCTTTGGTACCGAGGTGAGAAATATTAGGCTGATGGCATTGTTGATATGGCTTATAAATCCAAAACATAGTGAGAACATTTGATGTTTTTTAGGGCGTGCTCCGCCTCCACCTGCTGGAGGCTCAAGATCTGGTTGCGAAGGACAAAATGGGTGGGATGATGAAGGGGAAGAGCGACCCGTATGTCAAGATCCATATCGGAGACACGACCTTTAAGAGTCATGTGATCAAGGAGAATCTCAATCCCACCTGGAATGAGATGTATGAGGTGGGTTTAGGTCATCAGATGCCGTTTTAGTTGATGTTAAAAGGGTTTTAAATATAATATCATGCGATCAATGCTTTTCCCAGCTGGTTCTGGCCTCCAGCTCGACTTCTGATGTCCTTGTGGAGGTTTTTGACAAGGACATGGACAAAGATGACTTTTTGGGGAGGTACGTGGCAGCGTTGTAATTGTTAAATAAAACGAATAAAAATACTTTGTGTAAGCTAAAATAAAAATTAAATAAAATAAATGTAATACATCTAATATAAAATAAATATTATATCTAAAATGTTTTTTTAAATATAAGAAAAAAAGTGCTAAAAGTAACTAAATAAAAATAAAGCTAAATTGAGATATTAAAAATGGAAAAGCACAACAAAATTACTCAAATTTAAATGAAAATTGGAAATATATACATTCAAGCTATTTATAAATAGTCAAGTCACCCTTAGTGCTTTAATTAACTTACCTGTGATAAATACTATAATGGTATATAATTAATAGTAAAATAACACTGGAATGTGGATGAAAGTCGAACACGCGTTGGCATGTTGACATGATGCTTGTCCGTGTCATTTTACTGATCCTGTATGTGTCCACAGGCTGAAGATCAGCTTGAAGGAGATCATTCAGTCCCAGTTGACTGATGAAGTGAGTGTAGCATCTTTCCTCATTTTGAACAGTTTAGACAAATTGTCTTTTATTTGGCATTTAGAGAGGATTTGCTAGTAAGTTTACTGATAAGGTGAGAAAGTATTGTAATATATTAATTCTGTTGTGTTTTCTTCCTCTGTGTCAGTGGTTTTCTCTGAGTGATGTCAAACATGGCCGTGTTCATATGATTCTGGAGTGGCTGCCCACAGTAACACAACCTGACCGACTGCAAAAGGTCATTATTAAAGCTGAAATATATTATATTCATTCATATGATGTTTTTGAGTATCAATAGTAATTCGATCCATGTGCAATGCATCTATTCAAGACCTTTTTATAAATCTCATTTATTTTATTTAATTGATTTACTTCAAGCACCTCCTAAAACTTTAAGTGAGGCTCGAACCTTTCAATAAAAATGATAAATATTAGATCAGAGTTAAGTGTTTATTTTAATATGAAATAATTTTTTTAAATATGTTTGTTTATTGTGTATTATTATTATTATGAAGTATATTTAATGTGAATATATTTTCTAGGATTTAATTTGGCATTATTTTCTGCATTTTCAATGGTTCTCTTGTATTCTTCGTGTCCAGGCTCTGCAGTTACAGTCAGAACATTCGTTCCAGAACAAATCCATGCCGTCGGCAGCTCTGTTCTACGTCCTCTTGGAGAGAGCTCATGACCTGCCGGTACGTCTTACACACATGCACTTACAAGCATTTTCACACAAATTCAGTTCAGCTGTTTAGGATCAACTGCTGTGATCAAAACACTTTCATTTGTGTTCATGTGTGCAGCTGAAGAAGAGTGGAAAGGAACCTAAAGCTGCTGCAGAGCTGATTTTCGGTGACATTTCTCGTAAAACCAAGGTGGAACTTGTGCCTTATGTAAAGATAAAGTTGTGTGTCCATTTCTGGCCCTTAATGTAAGTAACTTCTTTGCTGGTCTCTTTAAAGGTGTGTGACCGCACCACATCTCCTCAGTGGAGTGAAGATTTTCACTTTCTGGTCCACAACCCAAGAGAGGAGACTCTTATTATAAAGGTGAAGTATATTAGGTTTCTAATTTTAAATTGGAAGTTTACAGGTTTACATGCATACATGATCAAAAACACTTTGATTTTCTCACATCGCAGCATCACCTCATTTCTCACAGTGTCTGAAACGATAAAGGATTCAAGGCCCTACATTGCACCCTATCGCAAATGACTTTGACAAATGAAACGAAACACTCATTGCCATATCTGAATTTCACCTCTGGATCTTCTTCAGCAATAGTAACCGTAGCGATAGCGTCGATTTTACCGTATCTATTCCAGCACTAGTCCTCATCCTTTTGAATTGAATGCGAAGTGGATTTGCTTTCACAGCGCAGAAAACAGCATCTTCCTGACACGTCGACAACATGAACCAAACTCCTCCAGTCTCAGCCACAACTACAGCTTTTGAGGGCGGGGAAAAGTAGATGTCTTTTGCTGGCAGCCAATGAATGAAGAGCATAGACGGGCATTTTTCAAATCTGTTAGAAGCACTACTGTATGTATAATCGAGCGGGAAGTGAGACTGGAACTACTGATGACTCATTTCGGGCAATTCAGAATCGTTTCTTTCTTTTGAGAGACAATTGACTATTTGGTATTTGAAACTTTGCAAACCTTTTACATTCAATTAAAAATAAAAGTTTAAATGTCTATATTGGGGTAGTCAACATGTCCTGGGGTTTGACATGATATATTATCTAAATTAAATTTTAATCATTGTGTCTATTATTTATATTAAGTAGAATGTTTAATTATCAAATTATTAGTATTATTTATAATAGCAATAATAATAATAGGTATTATTATTAAAAGTATAATAAATGTACATGTATTATGTAATTTATTTTACATTTTAAATTAATAATTTAATAATTTTTTTAATTAATAATCTTTGGTCACATTTTTCTCTCATTTCACTGCTGTAGCTTTCAAGTGCCTTTGAGCAGCCCTTGGGCTGTGTGGTTCTACCAATCAGAGAGTTGCTTTCAAAACCAGATCTACTGATGGACCAATGGTTGAGTTTGGATGGAGCCGGTCCTGACAGTCAAATTCTGCTGAGAGCACAACTTAAGGTGAATGAATTATTATGATGAAACTACTTTTTCTAGAAACTACAGTCAAAAAAAAGTTTTTTACAGTTTTTTTTTTTTTTTTATTGTGCATGAATCTCTTGTTATCGGCGTGTCAAATCATGACCATAACACACTTTTGAATGCCTAATTGCTCTACTTTATTATCAGATTTTGGACTCGAGAATGGATTCAAGTGTCCTTCATCGTAAAAAGCCTGTTGTTGAAGAACAGCATTCAGTGGGTGAACAGCATGTAGAAAAAGCACCAGTCGCTGCTGAACATTCACAAGCTGCAGTCAGTAAGGAGTCTGAGAGGAAGAAGCTGCCAGCAAAAGGGTTCGATTTATTTTGTGATGATTACTGATTTCATTTAAATCACATCATTTTATCTTGAGGGCTGAACCAGATTATTTTGTGCTCGTGACCAACAGGATCAGTAACCTAGCAGCCTTTACTCTACCGGTACCTACACCACGGCCTGAAGAACCTCAGAAACAAACAGCCGCCCGTGTCATGGATGAGCATCACACGCCGTCTGCACCCAAAACACAACTAACGGAGGTTAAGGTGTGTAAAGCATAACTCGCTCAAAGATTTTATTTGAATGAATTTCATGTTTTGTTTATCAATTTATTTATATATTTATTAACCACTGTATTTTAATGTCAATGTTTTATTTGATTAAATTTATATATAATTTTAAAATATGAATCAAACATTTCCATCAGATGTATTTCATATACATTATGTATGTATCATGTATTTGTGTTATCACACATCTAGTTTTAATGTTTATTTTAAAAATACATAGATATTTACATATTTATCAAAAGTGTTACAATAAACATTGTTTTGCTGAAAGTGAATGGTGACCACAGCTATTATTTTATTTCATTTATTTATTAAAAAATACATATATATTTGCTCATTTGTTACTTTTCATTTACAGGATCTCACCAAACTTCCTGATTCCACTTCTAATGTGGCTGGATACATGGAACCAGTAAAAACATTTGGATCATCCCATGAAGAACAACGTGTGGATAAACCAGTAGAACAGTGAGTTTTCTATGGTTTTGATAATCCCATTTTAGCTTGAATTAACAAAGTAATATGCCATTATTCATAACAATAATGGGTTATGATCATATAAAGATTAGTTTATGTCTGTGTGCGTTTCATGTTAAACAGGTCTCACAAGAAGGTTTCTCCCAGTGTTTCTGCTGGAGAGTCTAAAGTCTCTAGTTCAACAGACGTACGACCCCAGAAGACTAGCCATGACCCCAGCTTTGGCACCAAGGTGAGTCTGTTATTTTATTGACCTTTTAGTTTCCTGGATCAACATGCCTTCTGCTTTTAGTATTAGGTTTAAGGTTGTTGGTACGTGTCTTGGCAGGATCACATTAGGATTCTTTTAATGTTGTCGTTGTTGTTTAATATATGTCCCACAGGGGGTGCTGCGTATCCATCTTTTGGAGGCTCAAGATCTGGTTGCGAAGGACAACATGATGGGTGGGATGGTGAAGGGGAAGAGCGACCCGTATGTCAAGATTCATATCGGAGAAACAACCTTTAAGAGTCATGTGATCAAGGAGAATCTCAATCCCACCTGGAATGAGATGTATGAGGTAGGAATAAGAGAATGTAGTTTTGAAAAATGTCAAGATATCATAGAAAGGTTTGTGTTTTTCTCTAGTTTTAAATTATTATCAGTAAACAAAAATATAAATAAAACATTAAAAGGGCTTAATTGTTACTCTTTTTTTATTTACTAGATGATTCTGAGTCCTGATCATAATCTAGAGGTGAAGTTTGAGGTCTATGACAAGGATGTTGACTCTGATGATTTCCTTGGAAGGTTAGTGTATTTTTTTTTTTTTTTGCATCATTAAACTAATTTTATTGAACAACTAGGCACATGTTCGCTCCATGTCTCATTACTGTAATGTGTGTGTGTGTGTGTGTGTGTGTGTGTATAAAACACGTTTTATCAATTTAACACATCCTTACTGAAAAGAAATTATTCATTTCTTTCAAATAAAAAAATAAAAAATGACTGACCCCTGAACTTTTGAACAGTAGTGCATATTGTTGCAAAAGATTTCTATTTTAAATAAGTGCTGTTTTTTGGTTGCTGTTTTTTTGTTTTGTTTTTTTTACTTTTTGTTCATCAAAGAATCCTGAAAAAAGTATCAAAAATAGTAATAGTACTGTTTTTAAACTTTTGACCAGTACTGTATACACATACAGTATATAAATATGAAGACCTCTGACGCAAAAGCCTCTAAAAGCCACCTCTGTCAAAAGTGAGATAATAATATTGAGTGAATGTTTTCTGCACATAGTATATGTTCATCTAATACTTTCACTTCAAACTCACTAAATCCCAGAAATCTCAGCCCATTCAGAAATGCCAGTACTTGGGTAGAAACCTATACATAGGAGCCTGATACAAATGTTAATATTTAACAAAAACTTTAGACAGACTTTAGAGGCTTTTGTATCTGTCTTCATGTGTGTGTATATATATATATATATATATATATATATATACACACGCGCACACACAGTATTATACAAAGTAGTAATAAGAACTAAACAGATTCTTCTGAGCTTCTGAGAATTAAAAAGAAAGAGTTAAATATGCAACAATTTTTTTTTTTACATATTATTTCAGATACCATAATCGACACAAATTCACTTTACTTTTGTCTCCATGTGTGCTCAGGTTCAAGCTCAAACTTGGAGGCATCATCAGATCCCAGTACAATGATGAAGTGAGTGTCATCAACCCATTTGGCTCAGATTCATAAAATCACAACACAATAAGCGTTGTGCTTTTCATAAAAGCACAACACAATAATTTTTCCCTGTTGGCTTTTCTTTTTCAGTGGTTTACTTTGAATGAAATAAAACATGGTCGAGTCCATTTGGTTCTGGAATGGCTGCCCACCACAACACAGCGGGATAGATTGGAACAAGTCAGTTTTAAATGAAGACACATGGAGTCTGTTGATTCTTTGTTTATACAAAAAAATGGCTTAATACTAAAATATATATATATATATTTTTTTTTTTTATCAGGTAATGCAGATGCAAAGCACTCAGTCCTACCAGAACAAATCTGTGCCATCAGCAGCGATGCTGTTTATTCTTTTAGAGAGAGCTCATGAACTGCCTGTGAGTCATTCACACTAATCATATTTTTCAGTATAAATTTGTCTTTATTAAAAAAATCTTGATAAAACTGTTTTAATGGAATTATTACATTTGTACTAGAAGAGTAACCTGTTAATAAACCTTGGTAAGTAATAATGGTTATATTGGTGTCTAGTTGAAGAAAAGCGGAAAGGAACCCAAAGCTGCCGCTGAACTTGTACTTGGAGGAACATCGTACAAAACCAAGGCAGGAGATTTTTATCAATAATGACAATCATGCGTTAGTGTAAAACATTATATGCCATATATTTAATCTATTTGTAATATATTTAAATTCCTATTTCTGTTGTGTCTAATATAAAGGTGTGTGATCGTTCAACCTCTCCTCACTGGAATGAAGCTTTCGACTTTCTGGTTCATGATCCCAAAAAGGACATACTTGTCATTAAGGTGAGGGTATTGTAGTCAGAAATGCAATTAACTCTTTCCTCGACAGCATTTAAAAAAAAAAGTTGCCAGTCATCACTGCCATTTTTGATCAAACAAACAAAAAACATTTTATTCTAGCTTCATTCATTCTTTTTTTTATCAACACGTAAATGTGCTCAAGTGTAATAAAAAAGCAACCTTTTGAACAAAAAGCTGAGAAAATCATGCATGTCTGGAAAGCAGATGGAGTAGATCAACACCCCCAACTCTTCACAGTCCTAAAGTTCATTCTGGGTATACTTTTCAGTAATTAATATTAAGCAGTTTAGATTTATATGCTGTTTAATGTTGATGATTGCGTTATTTTACATAAGCATCTGCTGACATACGCTATCGCTTGTTTCTGCTTATTTTTCACCTGTGTTTTGATGAGGAGATTAGGTACTGTTTTAGAAGATGCATAAGCATAATAGTGCCCCCTACCGTATATCAGTCAAAACATAGATTGGCGAAAATATGCATAGAATGTGTCCTAACCCCCTCAGACCTAAATTTTGTTTCAAGTTTCTGAAAATTATAAAAGTACATTTTCCCAGCTCATGAGGTTTCTATAAATGAAAACAAACGAAAAAAAAAAAAAAATTATATAATTGCTTTCATTGTGATTTTTTTTTTTCTCCATTCCAATGGACATCAGGTCAAAACAGGTGTACTTTCCAAAACTGTACCAACATGAAATAAATTAATAAACATAAAATTTGTTGGTCTATACTTTAAGCTTTTTCTCAAGGTCAAAAAAATTCCAGCAGTATACCATTTCACCGGACCGGACCCCCCGCCCACTGACACGCCCCTGTCCCACGAACCCACTATTTGTCCAATAACCCACTATATTTGCCAAATGTCACGGGACCACCCCCCGCCCACTTCCGGGCCACGCCCCCATCCCACGAACCCAATATGCTGCAATTGGACGCAGTCTCACCGGCAATCTATTGAATGGGGATTCGGGTAGTGTTTTTGATAGACACTTTAAATAAAGTTCCTATCGAGAAAATATATATATTTTACCGCACTCAGAAGGCCCCCCGGGGTCCATAGCACCAAGCGCCATCCCAACATTCCACCGTACACGAACCCACTATTTTTATAAAGGCATAAATGCTATGTAGGATGTCCATATCTCAGCTCTGGAAGGGTCTAGTGCCTCCATTTTTAAGGGTCTAGTGCCTTCGTTTTTTTGGGGTCGAAATTTTGAGTTGCTCTGATCTTCTTGTAACTCTGGATTCTGATAGAGGGCCATGGGACTTAGACCTGAGTACAAAAATGGAGGCTGTAGACCCTCCCAGAGCTGAGATATGGACATCCTTTTTGAGTGCAAAAATGGAGGCTCTAGCCCCTTCCAGAGCTGAGATATCGAAACTCAAAAATTCGGCCCGAAAAAAAACCGACAGTGGTACCCCTTATGTTTTTTTTTTTGGGGCGAAAAATTAAGTTTCTCCAATCTTCCCAAAACTCTGGATTCTGATAGAGGGCCATGAGACTTTGACCTGAGTGCAAAAATGGAGGCTCTAGACCCTTCCAGAGCTGAGATATCGAAATTCAAAATTTCGACCCGAAAAAAAAACGACAGTGTTACCCCTTTCGTTTTTTTTCATTTTCGGGCGAAAAATGAAGTTTCTCCAATCTTCTCAAAACTCTGGATTATGATAGAGGGCCGCGAGACTTTGACCTGAGTGCAAAAATGGAGGCTCTAGACCCTTCCAGAGCTGAGATATCGAAATTCAAAATTTCGACCCGAAAAAAAAACGACAGTGTTACCCCTTTCGTTTTTTTTCATTTTTGGGCGAAAAATGAAGTTTCTCCAATCTTCTCAAAACTCTGGATTCTGATAGAGGGCCGCGAGACTTTGACCTGAGTGCAAAAATGGAGGCTCTAGACCCTTCCAGAGCTGAGATATCGAAATTCAAAATTTCGACCCGAAAAAAAAACGACAGTGTTACCCCTTTCGTTTTTTTTTCATTTTTGGGCGAAAAATTAAGTTTCTCCAATCTTCTCAAAACTCTGGATTCTGATAGAGGGCGCGAGACTTTGACCTGAGTGCAAAAATGGAGGCTCTAGACCCTTCCAGAGCTGAGATATCGAAATTCAAAATTTCGACCCGAAAAAAAAAACGACAGTGTTACCCCTTTCGTTTTTTTTCATTTTTGGGCGAAAAATGAAGTTTCTCCAATCTTCTCAAAACTCTGGATTCTGATAGAGGGTGCGAGACTTTGACCTGAGTGCAAAAATGGAGGCTCTAGACCCTTCCAGAGCTGAGATATCGAAATTCAAAATTTCGACCCGAAAAAAAAACGACAGTGTTACCCCTTTCGTTTTTTTTCATTTTTGGGCGAAAAATGAAGTTTCTCCAATCTTCTCAAAACTCTGGATTCTGATAGAGGGGCGCGAGACTTTGACCTGAGTGCAAAAATGGAGGCTCTAGACCCTTCCAGAGCTGAGATATCGAAATTCAAAATTTCGACCCGAAAAAAAAACGACAGTGTTACCCCTTTCGTTTTTTTTCATTTTTGGGCGAAAAATGAAGTTTCTCCAATCTTCTCAAAACTCTGGATTCTGATAGAGGGCCGCGAGACTTTGACCTGAGTGCAAAAATGGAGGCTCTAGACCCTTCCAGAGCTGAGATATCGAAATTCAAAATTTCGACCCGAAAAAAAAACGACAGTGTTACCCCTTTCGTTTTTTTTCATTTTCGGGCGAAAAATGAAGTTTCTCCAATCTTCTCAAAACTCTGGATTCTGATAGAGGGGCGCGAGACTTTGACCTGAGTGCAAAAATGGAGGCTCTAGACCCTTCCAGAGCTGAGATATCGAAATTCAAAATTTCGACCCGAAAAAAAAACGACAGTGTTACCCCTTTCGTTTTTTTTCATTTTCGGGCGAAAAATGAAGTTTCTCCAATCTTCTCAAAACTCTGGATTCTGATAGAGGGGCGCGAGACTTTGACCTGAGTGCAAAAATGGAGGCTCTAGACCCTTCCAGAGCTGAGATATCGAAATTCAAAATTTCGACCCGAAAAAAAAACGACAGTGTTACCCCTTTCGTTTTTTTTCATTTTTGGGCGAAAAATGAAGTTTCTCCAATCTTCTCAAAACTCTGGATTCTGATAGAGGGGCGCGAGACTTTGACCTGAGTGCAAAAATGGAGGCTCTAGACCCTTCCAGAGCTGAGATATCGAAATTCAAAATTTCGACCCGAAAAAAAAACGACAGTGTTACCCCTTTCGTTTTTTTTCATTTTTGGGCGAAAAATGAAGTTTCTCCAATCTTCTCAAAACTCTGGATTCTGATAGAGGGCGCGAGACTTTGACCTGAGTGCAAAAATGGAGGCTCTAGACCCTTCCAGAGCTGAGATATCGAAATTCAAAATTTCGACCCGAAAAAAAAACGACAGTGTTACCCCTTTCGTTTTTTTTCATTTTTGGGCGAAAAATGAAGTTTCTCCAATCTTCTCAAAACTCTGGATTCTGATAGAGGGCCGCGAGACTTTGACCTGAGTGCAAAAATGGAGGCTCTAGACCCTTCCAGAGCTGAGATATCGAAATTCAAAATTTCGACCCGAAAAAAAAACGACAGTGTTACCCCTTTCGTTTTTTTTCATTTTTGGGCGAAAAATGAAGTTTCTCCAATCTTCTCAAAACTCTGGATTCTGATAGAGGGGCGCGAGACTTTGACCTGAGTGCAAAAATGGAGGCTCTAGACCCTTCCAGAGCTGAGATATCGAAATTCAAAATTTCGACCCGAAAAAAAAACGACAGTGTTACCCCTTTCGTTTTTTTTCATTTTTGGGCGAAAAATGAAGTTTCTCCAATCTTCTCAAAACTCTGGATTCTGATAGAGGGGCGCGAGACTTTGACCTGAGTGCAAAAATGGAGGCTCTAGACCCTTCCAGAGCTGAGATATCGAAATTCAAAATTTCGACCCGAAAAAAAAACGACAGTGTTACCCCTTTCGTTTTTTTTCATTTTTGGGCGAAAAATGAAGTTTCTCCAATCTTCTCAAAACTCTGGATTCTGATAGAGGGGCGCGAGACTTTGACCTGAGTGCAAAAATGGAGGCTCTAGACCCTTCCAGAGCTGAGATATCGAAATTCAAAATTTCGACCCGAAAAAAAAACGACAGTGTTACCCCTTTCGTTTTTTTTCATTTTTGGGCGAAAAATGAAGTTTCTCCAATCTTCTCAAAACTCTGGATTCTGATAGAGGGGCGCGAGACTTTGACCTGAGTGCAAAAATGGAGGCTCTAGACCCTTCCAGAGCTGAGATATCGAAATTCAAAATTTCGACCCGAAAAAAAAACGACAGTGTTACCCCTTTCGTTTTTTTTCATTTTTGGGCGAAAAATGAAGTTTCTCCAATCTTCTCAAAACTCTGGATTCTGATAGAGGGGCGCGAGACTTTGACCTGAGTGCAAAAATGGAGGCTCTAGACCCTTCCAGAGCTGAGATATCGAAATTCAAAATTTCGACCCGAAAAAAAAAACGACAGTGTTACCCCTTTCGTTTTTTTTCATTTTTGGGCGAAAAATGAAGTTTCTCCAATCTTCTCAAAACTCTGGATTCTGATAGAGGGGCGCGAGACTTTGACCTGAGTGCAAAAATGGAGGCTCTAGACCCTTCCAGAGCTGAGATATCGAAATTCAAAATTTCGACCCGAAAAAAAAAACGACAGTGTTACCCCTTTCGTTTTTTTTCATTTTTGGGCGAAAAATGAAGTTTCTCCAATCTTCTCAAAACTCTGGATTCTGATAGAGGGGCGCGAGACTTTGACCTGAGTGCAAAAATGGAGGCTCTAGACCCTTCCAGAGCTGAGATATCGAAATTCAAAATTTCGACCCGAAAAAAAAACGACAGTGTTACCCCTTTCGTTTTTTTTCATTTTTGGGCGAAAAATGAAGTTTCTCCAATCTTCTCAAAACTCTGGATTCTGATAGAGGGGCGCGAGACTTTGACCTGAGTGCAAAAATGGAGGCTCTAGACCCTTCCAGAGCTGAGATATCGAAATTCAAAATTTCGACCCGAAAAAAAAACGACAGTGTTACCCCTTTCGTTTTTTTTCATTTTTGGGCGAAAAATGAAGTTTCTCCAATCTTCTCAAAACTCTGGATTCTGATAGAGGGGCGCGAGACTTTGACCTGAGTGCAAAAATGGAGGCTCTAGACCCTTCCAGAGCTGAGATATCGAAATTCAAAATTTCGACCCGAAAAAAAAACGACAGTGTTACCCCTTTCGTTTTTTTTCATTTTTGGGCGAAAAATGAAGTTTCTCCAATCTTCTCAAAACTCTGGATTCTGATAGAGGGGCGCGAGACTTTGACCTGAGTGCAAAAATGGAGGCTCTAGACCCTTCCAGAGCTGAGATATCGAAATTCAAAATTTCGACCCGAAAAAAAAAACGACAGTGTTACCCCTTTCGTTTTTTTTCATTTTTGGGCGAAAAATGAAGTTTCTCCAATCTTCTCAAAACTCTGGATTCTGATAGAGGGGCGCGAGACTTTGACCTGAGTGCAAAAATGGAGGCTCTAGACCCTTCCAGAGCTGAGATATCGAAATTCAAAATTTCGACCCGAAAAAAAAAACGACAGTGTTACCCCTTTCGTTTTTTTTCATTTTTGGGCGAAAAATGAAGTTTCTCCAATCTTCTCAAAACTCTGGATTCTGATAGAGGGGCGCGAGACTTTGACCTGAGTGCAAAAATGGAGGCTCTAGACCCTTC